AGGTCAAGAGAGCTTCTTGATGCAATCTATACAGGTCAACTTCCTGGGGCATGAGGTAGGATGGGGAACAGCAGAGATTATATCTGCAGGGGCAAGTGGAAGATACTCAGCACAATTTCTTACTTCCTTTCTGCTTCCCCATATTTGTGTCCTTCATTGCTGAATTCTGTATAATTTATTTTGAGTTATCTTCTAGTTCACTAATTCTCCTTTAACCATGTCAATGTGATGTTAAAGTTAAAAAACTTTTTTTTATTTCAGATTTGGTATTTTTTATTTCTAAAATGTCATTTTGGTTCTTTTTCTCACCTGCTCTATCATTTGTAGTTTCCTCGTCCCTGAAGACATTTTTAAGCTTGTCTTTTATTTCTTTATTCATAATCAAATATTTGTTTTATAGTTCATGCCTGACAATCCTAATATCTAAGTTTTCAGGTCTACTTTATTTGTTATTCTTACTGTATGTTACCGATAGAGTCTGCCTTCCTTACGTGTCTGATTATCTTTGACTACATACTGGATGTTGTTTTTGGAAAAAAAAATGTAGGAATTATTTGGGGCCCAAAATTAAGGTATTATGAAGACAACTTGTCTTTGTCTCCACCAAGCACCTAAGGACACTGCAGCCCATGATTACATTAAGCCAAACCCAGTGCTTCAGATGCCCTAGATGCCCCCCATGCAATTCAAACATGGCTGAAATATGCTTGAGTTTTTTCACATCCACTTACGCACCAGCCTGGAAGTGGCAGAGGGTCTCCTATGAGATTAACCACGTTGTGCAGTCTCTGAGCTTATGTCTCTGTCCCTTCATCCCACAAGGGCTGTCAGAACAAAGGATCTGATTTTCCAGAATTGTCAGATGCCCCCAGGACATCAGTAGCTTTCCTGCTCCCAACCCCTCAGGGTCATCATATTCCCCACATGATGGCCTTGCAATTTATTACAGTCTCGTCATCTCTTTAATACTCTCAGGATCCTTGGTTTTTTGTGTTTTTTTTTTTTCTTTTTGAGATAGGGTCTCACTTTGTCACCCAGGTTGGAGTGCAGTGGCACGATCTCGGCTCACTGCAACCTCTGCCTCCCAGGTTGAAGCTATTCCCCTGCCTCAGCCTTCCAAGTAGCTGGAATTATAGGCATGTGCCACCACACCTAATTTTTGTATTTTTAGTAGAATTGGGGTTTCACCATGTTGGCCAGGCTGGTCTCGAACTCCTGACCTCAAGTGATCTACCCACCTCTGCCTCCCAAAGTGCTGGAATTACAGGTGTGAGCCACCATGCCCAGCCTACATGTTTATATTTTCTCTAACCTTTGTAGTTGTTTTCAATGGAGGAGCTGATTCAAGAAGCTTAGTGCACCACTACTGGAAGATGAAGAAGTCTTCTCATTCTCTTTTTTAAAAAACAGATTTATTTAAATATAACTCACATACTATACAATTTGGCCATTTAAAGTGTACAATTCAATGGGTTTGGCATATTATGTTATTTTTTAATTGTAGTAAAATATGTATAATATAAACTTTGTCATTTTATTCACTTTTAAGTGTATGATTCAGTGGCATTAATTATATTTGCAACTGCTGCACAGCTATTGCCACTGTCTAATTCTAAAACTTTTTTATCACTCCAAACAGAAACTCCGTAACTATTAAATAATAATTTCCCATCTTCCCCTCCCCATAGTGCTTGATAACCTCTAATCCACTTTCTGTCCTATGAATTTGGCTATTCTCAACATTTCATGTAAGTGGAATGATACAATATTTGTCCTTTTGGGTCTGGATTATTTCCCTCTGCCTAATGTTTTCAAGGTTCATCCATGCTGTAGCATGTATCGGAACTTCATTTCTTTTCATTGCTGAATAATAATCCACTGCATGGGTACGCCATATTTTATTTATTCATTTATCTGTTGATGGACACTCGGGTTGCCTCCACCTTTTGGCTGTCATGAATAATGACACTGTCAGCATTGGCATACGAGCATGTTTGAGTCCCTTCTCTCAGTTATTTTGGGTGTGTACCTAGGAGTGAAGTTTCTGGGCCATGTGGCAGTACTATATTTAGCTTTTTGAGGAACTGCTGTACCATTTTCCATAGCAACTACACCGTTCTCTATTTTCACCAGCAAGGTACCAGGGTTTCTGTTTCTCCACATACTTGCCAGCTCTTGGTATTTCTCATCTTGGGGCTGTAGCCATCCTAGGAGGTGTGAAGTGACGATTTGTGTTTCTCTGATGCTTAGTGGCATTGAGCATCTCTTCGTGTGCTTATCGGCCACTTGTCTGTCCTTTTTAGAGAAATGCCTGTTCAAGCCCTTTCTCCACTTTTGAATTGGATTGTTTGTGTTTGGGTTGTGAGTTATAGCTCCCATTCCTTCTTAGACCCACATGAACCAGACTGTCTACTGCTGCTCCAATAAAATGGTTCTCGTCAAGGTCACCAGTAACCTCACGTCACTAGGTCCAATAGTCCATTCTCTGTCCCCACCTTATGTGACCTGTCAGCAGAATTTGACTCAGTCAGTGACTCTTTCCTCCTGGGAACACTGCCCTCCCCGGCTCTCCTCCTACCTCCCTGGCCACTCCTGCTCAGCCTCCTCCACTGGCTCCTCCTCATCTCCCTAATTTCATAGCCCTGGGGCCACAGGGCTGACTCTTGATCCTCCTCCTCAGCTACACTCAGTTTCACGGTGGCCACATCCATTCCCATGGCTTTAAATATCCCATAAATGTTGACACCTCTGGCCCAAGCCTTTCCCCCAACCCCCTGACAGCAGCCCTTGGATGTCACACAGGCACCTCCCACTGACCCAACCAGGCCACACCCCGGCCTCTCCCAACCTGCCCCTCCTGCAGGCTTCCCCATGTCACACCTGGTGCCTCTGCTCCCAGCATCTCAGGCTGGAATTCTTGGTGCCGTCTGACTCTTCTCTACACCCACATCCCATCCCCTAGGAAACCCTGCCAGCTCCACCTCTGCCTGTGTGCCGCCCCCGCTGCCACCACCGTAGTCCAAGACACCACTGGCTCTCACCTCCAGTGACTTGCCTACTTCCAGTCGTCCCCCACCGTACTTGAAGAATACACGTAGGCCTGTGCCACGTCTCTACGTAAAATCCTCCAGTGGTCCCATCTCATTCAAAGCCAATGCCAAAGTCTCCACAGCAGCCATCAAGGTCGTGCTGTGGACCCGATGATATCACGGTCTCCCTCTCCTCCTCTCCCCTCCCCACTCCACCGCAATGACACTGGCCTTCCTTTACGTCCCCTGAACACACCAGGAATCAAGCTGTCTCAGGGCTGTCTGGAAGCTTCTCTCCCCCGCATCGCTGCCTGGCTCCCTCCCGATATCCTCAGGGCTTTGCTCAAGTGTCCCCTTCTCAGGGGATGCGTCCCTGACTGCCTTGTCTGAAACCAAAGGCACCCAGACTCTCCCCCTGCTCCCCACACTGCTTTTATCTCTCGAGCAGCATTAAGCATCCAGCACACTGCGCTTCCTGCTGTGTTCCCACGAGGCTGTCATGCACAGGAGGTCGGGGACTCCTGCCGATTCCACCACTGCTTGGTCCCCTGGGACACTGCACGCGATGGCGCTCGGCTCACACCTGCTGACTGAGGGGCAGGCCCGCGGGCAGCAGAATAGAAACACCCGCCCTCTGGGCACACACGCTTGCTCAGGGGAGAATCCTCCCGCTTAAGCCTCTGGAGGCAGGCATTGCCCACTACTCTGTGGTCAGGAATCCAAGGCTCAGAGGGGTTAAGTGACTTCCCCAAGGTCACACAGCCAGCACGGGCAGAGTGGAGGTCTGAGCCCAGACCCTTCTGACTCCAAAGGCCCAGCTCTTTCCAGCTGAGTGGACACTCCTGGAGTCCTCCGAGCTGCGGTGCCCACCCAGCCAAGGGTTAGATGGTCCTGGAGTGGCTTCCCCAGGGTTTTAAGGGCAGCTGCCCTTGAGTCTGTCTTAAAGCAGGGGTGGGAACACATGGAGCCACCCTCCTATGGTCCTCCCAGCCCCAGCCTCCTCATGCAAGGGGCCCTCCTGCCCCTCAAACCCCTTCTACCCAACACTCAGACCCAAAGACCATTTAGGGTAGTAAACAGGACCACTGTGGTCACCAGCATCTCAGGGCAGCCCAGCTGTGCCTTCCTTCCCTCCAGGCCTCACTGAGCCATGCCCCATGGATCCATGGAAAGGTCACAGGACTGGACAGCCCTGGCCTCCAGGCTCCCCAGTTCCAAGACAGGGCCTTGATCAGGGCAGGTCTCCTCTCTCCGGTCCTTAGTGGCCCCATCTGCAAAATGGGCACTCTACAAACTGTAAAGCACCGTGCTCATGCTAGTGATGGCCTGTCACTTGAAGCAAGTTGGGCCTGAGGAGCTGGGGCCCAGCAAACCCAGACTGGGAGGGAGTGGTCAGGGAAGGCTTCCACAGGGAAGTGACTTTGTGATGAGCCCTAAGGGCTGAGGGGGAACTAGTCAGGGACAAGGAGTGCTCCAAACAGCAGGAATGCATGTGTGGGGGCCCAGAGGAAGGGAAGGAGAGGAAGGGAAGGACAGGCAGGGGCTGGAGGTCAGAGAGCAGAGGGCTTGGAGGCCGTGGCTTTGACTGCCAGCTGGGGCTCTGGTCTGCAGGACCTGGGAGCCCAGGAAGATGACAAGCAGTTGGGAGACAGGGCACATTAGGAAACCTCCAGCATGAGTGAGGAGCTAGCGGAGAGACCCTAAAAGTGGAAAGACCCAGGAGGAAGCTGATGTGAGACCACAGGCAGGGACCAGGGACCCCCTGTCCAGCCCCTGCCTTGGGCCCCTCCCACACCGACCTGCAATGCTCGTATCTGCCCTGAGCCCCATCCCACTAGGGTCCGGCTCAGGACCCAGTCTAGGTTTGCTGTTCCAGGCACCTAGGCCCTGGCGATGGTGGCCTGCTCATGTGGCTGAGCCCAGCCAGGCCTGGGTGTCAGCACTGCCCTCACATGCCCTCTCTGCCCACAGCCACACCTTCCAGCTGTGGAGGGCCCTGGGGGCCGAGCAGCCCATGAGCCACCTGGTGTTGACCATGCTGCTGGCCTGGCTGCAGGAGCGGCCTCTGCCCACCGGTGCCAGTGACAGCAGCCCCTGCCCCAAGGAGAAGACCTACCTGCGTTCACTGGCTGTGAGTCTCTGCCACCGCCCTGTCAGATACTGGTAGCACCTCAAGCACTCTCTGTGCCAGGCTGTAGGGGGGCACCCCATATCCAGGCCGCAGACACCCATTCCAGCCCCAGCCTGGAGGAAAGCTGCCCAGGGCTGACCACACAGGCCCAGCTCCCACCTCCTGGCCAAGGGCTGTGGGCTCCTGTCTGTGAACCAGGACAGTCGTGTCCGTCCCCCGGGCTGGCAAGGGGACTCACTCAGTCACTGTGGGGAGGCCTCAGAAAGGGGCTTCAGGTAGAGGAGAAGGGTGTGGACAGACTTGAGAGCCTTCCCCATGCTTGGGTTCTGGGGGGTCATAGATTCTAGAGGAATCTTAGAGGCTGCCCTCTGCAGCCACCACCCCCCTGTAGGAAGCCCCCGGTTTTCCTCATAAGCCCAGCACTGCTTCTACACTCCCAGGAGCCATGAGCTCCCCTCCTGGCACGGCCACACCTGTCCCCCTTACCTGGTCCCTGATGAGACCACAGCTGTGTTCCTGTTTAGAGCTTTCCAGGCTGAGTCCCTGCCCCAAAGGCCCCCCAGCAGTGGCCCAGAACTCACAGCAGCTCCCCTGCCACCCAGAGCCCGCCAGACAAGCTACTGCCTGCAGCAGGCGTGTGATGAGGGCTTAACAATGGTGGCCGGTGGGAAGCAGCCCCTCGGCCCAGGGATTTGTCAGCTGGCCATCCCCAACACCCCACCCTGGTCAGCCCTGGGTTGATGCTGCCTCCTACCAGAAGACCCCACAGCAGCACAGGTGAGACCCACCCAGGGGCAGCAGGGGAGCCTTCCCTGCATCCCACCACACTGCCAGTTCCTGCCCTCCCCCAGTTGTCACTCCTCAGTGCTGGCCCCACCCTGAGAACATTCTGGACTGAGTGCCCTGGCAGGCACTGCAGGGCCTTTGGGGCTGGGGGCTGCTATCAGCTGACTCTGCTTTCCAGGGCCATGGGTTCCCCAACTCCCAGGCATCAGGCCCTGCTGTGTGCCAGCCACAGAGCTGAGGGTATCGTGGGACCACACAGCATAGGACCTTGCCTTCAAGGCAACAGAGCAGAGGGCCCAGATGCCAGTGGGCCACCCCTCAGACAGGAGCAAAGTGCAGAGGGCAGATGGTGGCATCCAGTGTGCAGTCTGGGGGAGCCCCTGGGTCGAGGTGGAGGTCTGCAGGGGTGTAGGGTGGACAGCATCCAGGTGGACAGCTGGGGGAGGCTGGGGACCACTAGGCCATCCAGCAGCAGCGAGACCCAAGCAGTGGGTCCAGAGGGTGCCAGAGAGGGCCAGGCTGAGGCTGCAGAGGCACAGGGTCAGGTCCCACAGGGAGGGACGGCATGTGGACACTCAGATTTGGTCCTGGAGAGCTTGGCGCGGGGAAGGACGAGCATGCTAGGATGTGGCTTTTGTGGGACAGTAGGTCAGAACCCCTGGTCCCGGGACCCAGGGCCTAGGAGCCTCACTCCATGCCTGCCCCCGACAGGCCATGAACATGCTGCATGAGCTGCAGTTCGCCCGGGAGTTCAAGCAGGCCGTGCAGGAGGCCTACCCCAAGCTCTTCCTGGCCCTCCTCACCCAGATGCACTATGTCTTGGAGCTGAACCTACCCTGGGAGCCCCAGCCCAAGCAGCAGGCCCAGGAGGTGGCTGCACCCAGCCCCCAAAGGTAAGACTAAAGCCTCCCAGGCCTCCTGGCCTGGCCAGACACACACAGGGTTCCGCAGGCATCCGAGAGCAAAGACTGTGTTAGCCTCATAGGGCACAGTGACAAAGATGCACACCCCAGGGACTCAAAGCAACATCTCCCAGTACTGGAGGCCAGAAGTCTAAAACCAAGGTGTCACCAGGGTGTGCTCCCCTGAAACCTGCAGGGGGCCTTCCTCACTGCTTCTGGTTCCCAGTGTCTCGTGGCCACATCGGGTGCTCCTGGGCCTGAGGCTGCACCACGCTCATCTCTACCCCTATGGTCACCTGACATTCTCCCTTGTGTGCCGGTGTTTAAATTTCTCCTTCTTTTTTTTTTTTTTTTTTTTTTCCCAGCTCTGTCAGAATTAAGCTTTAGTTCATGTCTGTCGAGTGGTTCAGCAGTTGAACAGTTAAATTTAGCATCTGAATAAATTTTCCCTTCTTATAAGGACACCAATCACTGGGTTAGGGCCCCACCCTAACGACCTCAACTTGATAACATCTGCAAAGACCTTCTTTCCAAGTAAGGTCACAGTCACAGGTACTGTTGGTTGACTTCAATAGCTTTCTTTTCGGGGGGGACACAATTCAATCCACAACAGTCATGAACCCAAAGCTCCATCCACGGCCAGGGCCACAGGGGCTGCGGTACTTTGTTCGGCCCACTTACCCGTCACCTGAGGGTGCTTGGCAGTAGAGATACTTAGTGTCGCTGCCATACAGGGACCCCAAGGGGACAGCAGTTACCAAGAGCACCCATGCAGTGAGCCACATCTTACCCCAACGGGCTTCCTGCGAGGACTCGAGATGAATCTCATTGTCCCTGCTCTACAGATGAGGCAACTGAGGCTCAGAGAGGGTCAGAGGCTTCCCCTGGGCCACACAGTATGTCCACGCAGAGGCGACCTGGGCTCACCCATGGGGGCAGATGCCTTTCCAGGCTCTCCTGGGCATCTCACTGCCCCTCGGCACATGCTCAGACTGACATCATGGCCAGCTGCCCGCTCCCCCGCCCGCCATATTCTGGCCTCAGTAGGGCTGCCTGCCTTCATCTTCCCTCTGCACCGGGTCATACTTCCAAAAATCCAATAAGCAAGTCTTTAAAAACCGCCGGGGCCGACTCTTTTCATTTGTTTGTATTATGATGTGCGTCACGCAATTTGTCAGTTTTAACAGCTTTCCCCAAGGCAAGTCACTGAAAAAAAAAAATGCCACTTCTTCTCATCTTGCCTCTAAATTCGAATGTGCATGAAGTTCCTTTTTTATTCAGTTCAACCATGCAAAATGCATGAATCTTTCCTAATAAGCTAATAAAACGTTCTCCTCCTGGTACGTGGGAGGGTTGGGAGAAAGCCTCACCCCGTCTGCTCCTCCCGCTGCTGGAATGTTCTTCCCGCAGCCATTCTGCCTCTGCAGGCTCTGCTCACCCGCACCTCGCTGAGGCCTCCCCCACTACCCTCTAAAATAGCAGCCCCTTCGGCGCCTCCCACCCTCTGCCGCTTGATTCCCTCCGCAGCACCGCCGTCAGCTACCATCTGCGATCTGCACCTTTGACCTGCTTTCCTGCCCGCACCCATAGACTGGAAGGTCCCGAAGAGCCAGAGACATCTGTCTGTCTCTCGCGGGCTCCCATACAGCAAGGACGTCTGTCTGTCTCACTGGGGGCTCCCCATGCGGCTGAGACGTCTGTCTCTCGCCGGTTCCTCCACCATCAAGGACGTCTCTCTCTCTCGGGCTCTTCACACAGCTAGGACGTCTGTCTGTCTGTCTCTCTTGGGCTCCCCACACAGCAGGGATGTCTGTCTCACTGGGGGCTCCTCATACAACAGAGACATCTGTCTGTCTCTCGCGGGTTCCCCCACCAGCAAGGACGTCTCTCTCTCTCTCGGGCTCCCCATACAGCTGGGACGTCTGTCTGTCTCTCTTGGGCTCCCCACACAGCAAGGACGCCTGTCTGTCTCACTGGGAGCTCCTCACACAGCTGAGAAAGCTGTCTGTCTCTCGCGGGTTCCCCCACCAGCAAGGCCGTCTCTCTCTCTCTCAAGCTCCCCATACAGCAGGGACGTCTGCCTCCCACAGGGCCACGGATGGTTTCTGCTCAGGCCGCTCTGCGCCCCCATCCTGGCCCCTCTCCGGGCGGGTTCTCCTGGAGCCCTGGAGGTGGCCCCGGCAGCCCCCGCAGCCCCAAGAGGAAATACTCTCACCATGGACAGAGTCCTGGGCTCTGATTGGCCTAGCTTGGTTCACATGCCCACTCCTGAACCAATCACCTTGGCCACAGGGGCCTGTGCGGCTCTGATTGGCCAGGCCTGGCTCCCACGCCCTCCAGAGAGCGGGATGGGCCCAGGTCTCTTCAACCACCATGAAGGGGCCCAGGCTCCAGTTGCCAAACCAGCAGCCACGCCACCCAGCGCCACCATGGAGCCAGGGAGGAAGGGAGGCATGAGAGCACAGGGTCACCCAGGTGTATCCCGGTGGCCCAGTGTCTGAGGTCCCTGCCAGGCTGCCGTGGCACCGTCAAGGTGGGGACAGGGGCCCAGAAGGACATCTGGATGGGCAGTGCTGAGTAGCCACTGTCTCTGCATGCCCAACACGGCGGGGGTGGCACAGGGCACCGTGGGGCAGCAGGCGAGTCTTGAGGCCTGACTGGGCTAGCCCTGGGCCTCTGAAGTTCTCATGTCCTGCTTAGATGGGCAGGCCTCTGAGACCAGCAAGCATCGAGTGGGGTCGGGCAGGGCACCCTTCCCCAGGCAGGACTGCAACAGGTGCTGCCAGGCCTGCCAGAGGGGCCTCCCTCTCCCCTGCTCCTCCACTAACAAAGCCTTTTCCTTAGAGACGTTTCCTGCGTCGGTCAGTTCTCAGCTGGGTCCTCCTCCAGCCAGTCTCCACCCTGTCCCACAGAGGAATTCTCATTGTTCTCACATGTCATCCATGTGGGCCAACTCTGTTTAATTCGAACGGGCTACATCGTTTCTCTTCATTTCAAAGATACTCATCATTCTCAGCCTCAGCTCATCCTCATCTTTCCCTCTGTCCCCCGGGGATTTGGGGCCAAAGGCTTGTGATCAAAAGAAGAAGAGGAACTTCACACCCATTAGGTTGGTTACTGTCCAAAAGAAATCAGAAAATGAGTGTTGGCGAGGATGGAAATCGGAAGCCTTGTGCACTGTTGGTGGGAATGTAAAACGGTGCAGCTGCTTTGGAATAGAATATGGAAGTTCCTCAAAAAATTAAATATAGAATTTCCATATGGCCCAGGAATTCCACTAATGGGTGTACACCCAAAAGAAAGGAAAGCAGGCACCTGGGACAGATATTTGTACACCCTGCTCACAGCAGTGTTACTCACGATAACCAAAAGGTAGAAGCAACACAAGTGTTCATCAATGGGTGAATCAGAATAAGCAGCGTGGTCCATCCATACAACAGAATACTACTTAGCCTTGAAAAGGAAGGAAATGCTGATGCTACAACATGGATGAACCTTGCGCACACTCTGCTGAGTGAAATAAGCCAGTCAAATACTGTGTGAGTCCACTTACTTAAGGTCCATGAGTAGCCAGATCTAAAGAGACAGAAAGTAGAATGCTGGGTGCCAGGACTCGGTGGAGGGAGAACGGGGAGTTAATGTTTAATGGGGACAGAGTTTCAGTGTGAAGAGGAGAACATTCTGGAGAGGGATGGTGGTGATGGCTGCATAATATTATGAATGTGCTCAATGCCACTGACCTGTACACTTACAAAATGGTAAATTTTATGAGACGTGTATTTTACCACAATTAAAAATAAAAACAAAACCAGAAGAGCAGGAAGTAGTGGGAGAGGGAAGGGGGTCTCATGGACCCTCAGGCTGCGGAGGAGTGTGGAGAGCAGAGGGGCTTCGCCTCCTCTTTCTCAAGCGCCTTTACCCTCTCTGGGGCCAGAGTGGGGAAAGGAGGGTTGGTCGAGTATGGGGCAGGCATCACTAGGATGCCAAGTGTCCAAAGAGGCTGAAGGCAGGCAGTGACATTGGGACCAGCAGGAACAGAGGGTGGTTCCTTGAGTCCACGGGCAGGCAGGGACTCAAGGGGCTCTGCCTTCATCGGTCTTGGGGCTATGTATGGATTTCAGGAGACACATGTCCCTGAGCATTGCGTGGGGTCCTGGGCTGGAGGTGAGTTCTACAGACCTGCAGGGGAGTTGGGCATGGATTCCCGAGAATGCTGAATCAGCGCATCTTTCTGGAAGCCCTGCGGGGACTGCAGGGACAAGGCAATCTCGAAGAACAAGCCATCGCAGTGCCCAAGAAGTCATAGGACCAGAAGCTTCTGGAGTCCTCCCAGAGCAAACAAAATGCCACTCCCCCTACCAAGTCCCCTTCTTCTGAAAACGACTGTCACATTGTGGCTGAGACCAGTGACCTGGAAAACGCTGCCTCTTTTTATGACACAGCTCAGGGCGAGAGGACAAGCCAGCTGGCATTTGGATTGGCACTGTCAGAACTTTCACGGATGGCATTTCATCATTTGACACTCGGTTTTGCAAATCTGCTCAGAAACGTGCCTGGTCCAAGCCGACAGCCTCGTCCGGGCATGCTCACACATCCAGGGTGATGCACTCACACTGACCAAGCGCGGGGGGCAGGGGTGGGGGTGTGCGGCTGGAACAGTGAGACAGGCCAGCAAGCCAGGCCATCTCATGTTTCATGGGCCGGCATTCTGGGGCTGTCTACCTGTGCCCCAGGGACTGCGTTCAGTGACAGTGACATCCTGTGACAGTGACATCACTGGCAGGTTTGGAGCCATGGCCCAGCTTGACCCCACCTCTGTGCCCTTGGCCAGGCTGTGTGACAGGACTGCTCCCTCGTCTGCTGATGGACAGTGACAGTAGAGGGCCACCTCAGCTGGGCAGGTGAGGCACTGCCCATGGTACCTGGCAAGTACCAAGCACACAGTGACACCACAAGCCATGCACGGCATCTTTTTCCGTCACTCACAAGTGAGGACCAGTGCTGCCGCATTTCTCCATGTCCTCTGAGGGCAGAGGAATCTCGGGAGTGGAGAATGGACACTTCTCTGGGCTCCACTATGCGACATGCCCTGGCTCTCCCGCGCCCTCGCCCGCTGCTACCCTCCGTACTCTTCGCCCATATTTAAATGCTGCCATCCTCGAGCTGAAGGGCAGGTGCCCTTCAGCAGGGTGCCCCTCCCTAGAAGGGCACCCCCGATCTCTGCCCAAGCAAGGCCCAGGGTCTGACTGGGCACACGCTGCCTCCCCGTGCCTGGCCCAGCTCCACCAATCCTAGGCCCCAGCATTTCCACGTAAAACAGGGCAGGAGAGAGCAACCCCAGGAGGCCTCAGTGACGCCAGGCACAGGAACCAGAATGTGCCTTTCTATCTGGGTCAGCTGGGCACCCTTCCCAGGGCAGGGGGTGACCCAGGGGGCCGCTTGTGGCCTGAGGCAAGCCCTGAGCCCCCTCTGCTCAGCTGCAGCACGTCACTGGAGGCACTGAAGAGCCTGCTGTCCACCACGGGGCACTGGCGTGACTTTGCCCACCTGGAGCTGCAGGGATCCTGGGAGCTCTTCACCACCATCCACACCTACCCGAAGGGCGTGGGCCTCCTTGCCAGGTACGGTGGGGCCAGGGCAGGTCAAGGCAGCCTGCTTCAGGCCACGCCCATCCAGGGGGCTATCTGGACTGCAGCAACAGGCCACGGCCCCCTGCCCCCGGTCACAGGCACACACTCAGAGCCCGTTGATGCAGCATCTTCCCCCAGGCCTCACCCTGGCCTGTGACCTCCTAGGGAACAAGGGCTATGCCTGCTTCTCTGTCTCCCACATGTCCAGCCCAAGCCTGGCACACAGTGGGCAGCCAGTGAGTGCAAAGGGAGTGGGAACGTGCCCGCCACATCGGGGCGCTCCAGGATGCTGGCCCTGATGAGATGGGTGGGGGCAGGAGGGTGGGCTCTGGGCAGTGACCACCAGCCCAGGCCCACCCCTGCAGGGCCATGGTGCAGAATCACTGCAGGCAGATCACAGCGGTGCTGCGTCAGCTGCTGCCCAGCCTGCAGAGCCCAGAGGAGCGTGAGAGGAAGGTGGCCATCCTCATCCTCACCGAGGTAGGGGTGCAGGCCGGCAGGGAGCACCTCAGATGCCTGAGCCTCCTTCTCCAGCCTCCTTCACACCCTAGCAAAACCCATGCCAGAGCTCACCCTGAGCAGGGAGGCTACCCAGACAGACCCCCTCGTACCCCTGCCTTCCCACTCCCAGCCCTTGGAGGGGGGCCGCAGCTTTTGGGGACCTGTCTCCCCACTCGGCCCTCCCTGGCACAATCCCTGCAGAACTGAAGGGGCACTGGGAGCAGACTCAGGTAGGTCCAGGCTCCAACATCAGCCCTGTCCTGCCTGTGGGACTCAGGGTGAAGCCAAAGGGGAATGGGTAGAAGCAGATGCCGCTGGGCGTGGCACACTTTGCAGCTGTGAGCTCAGGCAGGGGTGGGACTGGGGTGAGGAGGGCGCTGTTTCCATAACTGACACTAGTACGGGAACCCAAGCGCAAGCCTCATGCCAGCTTCCACCCACCAGCTGCCTGGGTCGCCCTCTGTGGGAGCTCTATCCCCAGCTGCCCCACAAGCCCAGCTCTTGATAACAAGTGAGGCCTTACCTCGCTGTGTAACCTTAGGCAAGGCCCTTTCCCTTTCTGGGGCTCAGTTTCCCCAGCTGTACATTGAGGGGTTGAACCAGGTAGGTTTCAAATACTTGTTAACCAAGATACCTAGAGGGCACTGGTTAACCTCCCTCCCTGAAACTCCCACTGGACCCTGGTCCTAAAGCCCCACCCCTCAACACAGATGCAGGCGCCTCAAAAAAGAGTGACCTGCCTGCCCTCCGGGGGCCACCCCAGTTCCTCTACAGCCCTGCCCTGCTGGAGGTGCTTCCCAAACAAGCCGCCTTGACCGTGCTGACACAAGGCCTCCGGGACCCCAGCCCCGAGGTCCGTGTGTTGAGTCTGCAGGGCCTAAGCAACATCGTCTTCCACCCAGATAAGGTAAGGGCTGTCGGACACGGCTGCTGGCGCACGTCCGACCCCACAGAACAGCCAGTGCACCGGGTGTAGGCAAGGGCCACAGGGTTGGAATCCCAGCTCTGTCACTTTGGGTGGTGTGGCTTGGGACAGCTGACTCCACCTCTCTGGGCCTGTTTCCTCATATGTAGAATGGGGCAGGTTGTGGGAGGGGTCAAAGTATCTATTCCCCGGGGATAGTCTCCTCCACACCTGAAAGAGAGAGGGGCCTTGTTGCAGGTGTCCAGGTGGCCACCGTGAAGCCCGCCAGGTGGCATCCCAGGGCTCACCCAGAGAGGAGAACGCCCTCTGAGAATCTGATGAATGGGCCTCTCCAACCCATTGCTGACTTCTCCAGTCCCAACCAATTCTACCTCTTCACCATAATAACCCATATCCCATCATGGACAGCTGTGGGAGGGAAGGCCTGCAATGCCACCTTTGGGGGATCTGGCCTTACCCCAGCTACAGCCCCCACGGCACCAGGGCACCATGCAGTGGTTAAGAGTCCAGGCCCTGGACCTATCCCCGCTCCAGCACCTTCTAGCTGGCAGGCTTTGTCAGCTCTCCAGGCCTCCGTGACCACATCTGTAAAATGGGAGCAGTAATAGTGCCTGCCTCTTGTGGTAGGCAGGTCATGAGTGCCATGCGGAGACCAGTCCCTGGCACGTGGTCAGCCCTAGAGGCATTGGCTGGCAGCAGCAGCAGCAGCAAACTTCCTACCTGGCTGACTCTGCACCATGAAAACGCTGAGTTTGAGGCGGAGATTTTCTCACCTGATCAGGAAGTGTGGAGGCTTAGCCTCCCCTCATCCACCCCAGGGCTGCATTAGGACCCCAGAGGGAAGGCGACATGCCCAGCACCTATTTCTGTTGCTGCTGGAGAAGGCTGTTATGAACATAAATATTTTCAGGGCTTGTGGGAGAAAAGTGTGATCATGGGAAGGCAGCAGAAGGGGCAGTTTCCAAAGAAATCCCTAAGTCATTTGCCTAGCAGACTAGTTCACTCTGACTCTCCTCCAATCACAGGTCTCCACATGGTTAAGAAGACTGACCTCCATTAGGGTCACAGTTGACAAAGCCCTTTGCATTGTGCATGATGCATCGTAGATGCTTAATGGAAGATGGAGACTAGATAGCACTTCCTCATTGATCTCTTCATCCCTCCATCCTTCATCCATCCACCCACCCACCCATTCATCCAGCTATTCACCTACCCATCTATTCACCTCTCCATCCATGCCTCCATCCATCCACCCACCCAATCATCTTCCCATCCATCCATCCACCCACACATCCACCTACCCATTCATCCCTCCACCCATCCATCCATCCATCCACCCACACATTCATCCAGCTATTCACCTACCCATCCATTCCTCTCTCCATCCATGCCTCCATCCATCCAACCACCATCCAACTATTCACCTACCTATCCATCCACTCACCCATTCATCCCTCCACCTATGCCTCCATCCATCCACCCATCCATTCATTCCTCCAGTCATCCCTCCATCCAACCATCGACCCACCCATTCATCTCTCTATCCATGCCTCCATCCATCTACCCATTCATCCATCCCTCCATTCATCCATCCCTCCATCCCCCCATCCACCCACATATCCCTCCACCCACCCACTTGTTCTTCGGGTCCTTCATCTATGAGTCATTCTTGCAATATTTATTTTGTTCATTCTTTATATGTCTACTCATTCACTCAATCAGTTATTTACATATTTGCTCCCTCATTCATTCATTCATTCATTCATTCAGTGTTTGGTTATATCTGCACCAAATGTTCTCCCAGGCAGAGATGATCAGTGGGAAGTTCCCATGTGCCTCCCCTGTACCCTGCACTGAATACAGGCAATACAGAAAGGCAAAGAAGGGCCCTGCTAGATCAGGAGGACCAGGTCCAGAGAAGAGGGAGTGGTTCCCTACCTGGCATCAGGTGGGATGTGGGCGAGCAGCCACAGCAGGCCAGAGGAGACAGGTCCCGAGAGCACTGCCAGCCAAAGAGGCCTGCCGGCTTGGAGATGTGCAGGCTGAACCAGGTGTGGCTGGGGCAGGCCACCCGCTGCACTCTCACTGAGCAGAACTAGGCCAAGCTATGCATTTTTATTTTCTTTTCTCGCCATTTCCATTACAATTTCATTCTGTTGTCCTGTTCTGACCTGGCCAGAACCCTGGTCTTCAAGCACGGGCTGCACACACAGATGTTCACAAAGTGTGTCTGTTGAATGACTCACTTGCTGAAAATGAATTTAATATTTTCAAAGCAAACAGCTTTGAAAGCCAACAAAGTTGCTATAAACTTGTTTAAAAGTTGTAAAAATCACCCTGGTTTGCACACAAGTCACTGCTAAGGGGCCCAATGGCAGGAAACATCCATTGGTGGGCACACTGCTTTCTGACCACTCATCTCGGTAACTCAGGAACTCACTGCAACACGCAATCAAGTGGAGCAGACAGAACTGGCTGAAAATTAATTTTTAAAAAAAAAAAAAAAAAGACAAGTCGAATGTGTTGGCTCACACCTGTAATCCCAACACTTTGGGAGGCCAAGGCGGGTGGACTGCTCAACCCCAGGAGTTTGAGACCAGCCTAGGCAACAGAGTGAGACCCCATCTCTACCAAAAACAAAAGCGAAAACAAGAAGTCAGGTGGCACGCACCTGTAGTCCCAGATACTCAGGACGCTATGTAGGATTGCTTGAGCCTGGGAGGTCAAGGCTGCAGTAAGCTATGACCACACCACTGTACTCCAGCCTGGGTGACAGAGTGAGACCCTGTCTCAGAAAAGAAAAGAGGCCACCCTGTCCAGGCCACACAGCTCCTGGTGGACAAAGTCCAGGTAGGGGCACAGCTCCTCGTGGCGGGCAGGGCCAGGCCGGAACCCACAGCTCTGAATCACCACCCCCCGGCCCACGGTGCAGATGGGGTGAGGGGAGCAACTGGGAGGGTGAGGTGGGGCATGGGGCCAGCGGGTCCTGGTGCTCTCTGCCCACCAGCCGCCACCACCCCCAGGGAGGCCTGCTCCGGGGACAGCTGCGGCCCTTCCTCGACGGCTTCTTCCAGAGCAGCGAGCAGGTGATCGTGTGCATCATGGACACCGTGTCAGATATGCTGCACCGACTGGGCGCGCAGGGCGCAGGGAGCCAGAGCCTCAGTGTTGCTATCAGTGCACGATCCTTCTTTAATGATGTGAGCACTGGGGCAGGGCGGGGTTACCTCCTGCTCACGCCCTTCAGGACCCTCCTCCCAACCCAGCTCCCTTTCTCTGCCAAAGGTGGGACCCCAAGCTGCAGGCAGGGAGGCCCAGGCCCAGAGGAGCTGCCCGCTTGTGGCCCTTGGTTGAGATGGGCACTGTGCAGGTGGGCTGGGTGGGTCCCTGGCGCTTGCCCCTTCACCACAGGGCTGAACTAGTTCTCATGTTCAGTCTCCAAGTGCACTGGTCTCCGGCCCCACAACACGCTTACCCAGATGTAACTTTCTGACATGTCAGCACGGTTAGTGTGGCTGTTTTTCCTTCACTGGGAAATCAGGGGGACAGGTGCCCCTCAAATGCATTCATGAGGCCTGGGCTGCCAGGATGCAGTTGTGAGTAGAAGGGAGATGTGATTCTTATGTCCTCAGGGACGCCAGAGAGCCCTACGTGAGCGGGGAGCCCCAGCCCTTCCCTGGGAGCCGAGAGCCTGGGTGAAGGAATCCTGCAGAAGGAACTGAGTTACACCCCTACAATGAGGTGTGGGATCCCAACTTGGACAAAAGCTGGGGCCCCTAGACAGGTCTGGCCGTGCCTCTGAGCCTCCTCCTTGCAGGAGCGGGACAGGATTCGGGCAGCAGCCATGGCACTGTTCGGGGACCTGGTGGCGGCCATGGCAGACAGGGAGCTGAGTGGCCTGCGGACCCAGATGCACCAGAGCATGGTGCCCCTGCTCCTCCACCTGAAGGATCAATGCCCAGCTGTCACCACGGTCAGTGCCCACCCCAGGAAAGGCAGGTGGTAGGCCTTCACCTTGGCCAGGGCTGGGACCCAGAGGCGGCCAGGGGACAGGGCAGATGGACGGCAGCAGGGCTGCCTGAGAGTTGGGGGAGCTCCCACAGGGCAGCAAGTGGTGGGCAGAGGGTCTGGCCACAGTTGGCCTGCCCGGTCCCTGATGCACCCACGCATGCAAGCGAGGCTTGCCGTCAATACGGCACAACCCGGTCTTTTCTGCTCACTGCTGTGTCCCCAGTGCCTGTCACGGGGCGGGGGATGCAGCAGTTCACAGAGCTTGTGTGACTATGGACTGCACCCTGCCTGCTGTGCCAGCACACGCCTTGTGCACAGCCCATGAAGTCACAACTTGGCCTTACAGGTCTCCCTGCCATGGGGAAAAAGATACGCGACAACCGTGGAAGTGGCAGAGGCAGGGGCAGGGCCGCGGGCAGGCCAGCCTGGGCTCCGGGGGGCCAGGTGCTGTTGCCAGGGTCCCGGAGGCTTGCCAAGGGGCACAAGCAGGACAGAGCCAGGGAACACCCCCACAGCAGGCTGCCTCCAGCGCCCACGGAGGCCTGTGGTCTCTAGGTGAAAGGGCTCAGACACGGTGGGTGACCCTCCACGCCTGTCCCTGCAGCAGGCCAAGTTCACCTTCTACCGCTGTGCTGTGCTTCTCCGCTGGCGGCTGCGGCACACCCTCTTCTGCACGCTGGCCTGGGAGAGGGGCCTCAGCGCCCGCCACTTCCTCTGGACCTGCCTGGTGAGGGGCCTGGGATCGGTGGGGAGGAACAGGGCCAGGGAGTGGGGACCAGGCTTGCGGCTCCCCATTCACTCCCGTCTCACACACAGCTGCTATGGCAGCTCCAGGGGCTGGGCAAGGCAAGCTGGGGCTGGAAGACCCTGGTATCCCCAGGGCCCCCCAACCCGCCCCAGCCAGGTGTGCTCTCCTCCGGCCAGATGACCCGCAGCCAGGAGGAATTCAGCATCCACTTGTCACAGGCCCTCAGCTACCTGCACAGCCACTCTTGCCACATCAAGACCTGGGCGGCGCTCTTCATAGGTGGGGGGGCCAGGGCCGGGCTTGGAGACCCCCAGGCCTGCCCCACCCAAACACCCTTGACCCTCCCTGACCCACCGCCCACAAGACAGGAAAGGGGGTGGATGAGGAGGGGCTTGGGGCTGAAGAGGGGCAGGGGTGGGCTGGAGCCCCCCAGGAGACAGGGAGCCCAAGCCGCCAGCTGCCCGTCTGTCACACAGGCCACACCATCTGCTGCCACCCCCAGGCCGTGTTCCAGATGCTGAACGCCGGGGACATCAACCTGCTATTGTGCAGTAAGCGGCCCTCCCTCCAGAGCCCCCGCAGCCCACACCCTCCCACCCCTGTCCACCCTGCCACCCCTGCCCAGGTGCTCTTCAGACCCATGGCACCGACAGCAAAGACTGAGGCCCCAGAGGGGAACCCCCGCCCCCGTACCCAGCATCAGGACAAAGACACAGGCCTCCTGAGCAGTGCCCAGCCCCCATCCCACCTTCGTGTCTTGAGGCTGAGGTTGACCCTTCCCCTTCCCAGGCCCCCATCAGGGCACCTGGGGCCTGAGGCTCACACCCACTCCACAGCTGCCTCATGGCACCAATAGAACAAGGGGCCGGGGAATGGGGGTGGTGGGTGAGTAGTGGAGGGAAGCAACCCAGGCCTGGAGTCACAGAAGGTGGGGTCTGAGCTGGCCCCACCCACCCCCCACACCCCACCCCACCCGGGCTGGGGTAAAGGGGCTGCTCCTGGGCTGGGGTCACCTCTGACCTGCTCCCGGGTTGGGGTAAAGGGGCTGCTCCGGGCTGGGGTCACCTCTGACCTGCTCCTCCTCTTCTGGAGCTTTTGAACATCTCAAAAGCGACCCCGAGCCCAGCATCCGGGAATTTGCCACCAGCCAGCTCTCCTTCCTCCAGAAGGTGTCAGCCAGACCCAAGCAGTGACCTCCGGCCATCCTCCCCAACTGCCTTCCCCCCGCTGTGCCCACCTGGTCAGCCCTGCCCCATCTGCCCCCCCAGAGCTTGGTTGCGTAACGTTTTTCCATTTGAAAGAAAGATCTAGATTCAACAAAGCAGCTTGATGCGTGTCAGCTCCCTGCCCGCCAGGGGCCCTTCTGCTGTGACCAAGCCAAGCCCCAGGAGACACTGGCAGGACTTGGGGACAAACCCAGGGTCAGGCCCCGGGGACAGAGACAAGCTGTGAAGTCAGTGAAGCGCCCTGCAGGTGGACGCCCGTCCACTCCTGGAGGCAGGGTCCCCTTGATTGGGGCCTGAGCCCAAGCCACAGCCTGCCGGGGTCCCAGGGTCCTGGGGGCTGGGCAGGCCCTCGAATCGAGGGCAGCTTCCGCCCAGGGTGGCTGCTCAATCTTCAGTCTGTCTCCAGCTTGATGCGCCACAGTGGCTGGGGACTGATGGTGGGACGGAGTTCCCTCAGTCGGGACCCCAATGTCTCCCTCCACCCCCATCAACATCCTTCTCAGTCCATTCAGGGTTAGCAGCAGAACCAGCCAGGCCCACCCTGGACACACTGTGGCCTGAGGCAGGAGTCTTGGCTCTCTGAGCCTCAGCTGTTCCATCTGTAAAATGGGCAGTAAGACCTTTCTCCCAAGACCCTTGGAGGGATGAGTCCAGAGGCAGGTACCCTGGACTCCCAGAGAGCCACCAGGGAACCTACCTGCCCAACCTTCCACCTCGGCCTGGGTTTCCACCTGGCCTGGGGTCCACGCAGCTCCTGGAGAGCCCCTCCCCGCAGGGCTCTGCCTGGGCTCTCATCCCATGCTGCCTCTGTCTCGGGATTCTGCCAGGCCAGCCACCATCCCACCCATGGGATGATCCAGACTGCACCCCCTTTCCCCTCCTGGCCAGTGCTGACCCCACTCCACACTCAGCTCAGGCAGTCCTTCCACATGGAGCATCTCCCCCACCTCCCAGCCTGGTACTCTGCACTGTGCCCCCCAGGCCCCACCTCCACACCCCCTGTAACCCTGCCCCCCACCAAGGTGGAGCACCCCAAGGCCCCACCTCCATGCCCCCATTCCCCCTTCCCCCCAAGGAAGAGCACCCCAAGGCCCCACCTCCATGCCCCCTATTCCCCCATACCCCTGAGGAGGAGCACACCAAGGCCCCGCCTCTATGCCCCCATTACCCCATCCACCCCAAGGTGGAACACCCTGAGGCCCTGCCTCCATGCACCCTGTCCCTCAGCCCCCCCAAGGTGGAGTATCCCAAGGCCCCACCTCCATGCACCCTGTCTCCCAGGCCCCCAAGGTGGAGTATCCCAAGGCCCCGCCTCCATGCCCCTGCTCCCCGCCACCCCCCGAGGTGGAACACCCCTAGCTGTAACTGGGAGGCTTACCAGCCTGTCTTCCCCTCAACTCTCCTAGACTGTGAGCCTCTTGGGGCAGGGACATGGCTACACAGGGCCAGCAGAGGTGACCCCAAAACTTGGCTGGTGGATTGAAAAAATACAGCAAACTTCACCCAACACGCATCGGATTTACTTGAGTTCCAAATGTGTTTGAGGAGAGAGTAACCATCCGGGAGAGGTGTTGCCCTTTCTCTACACAGGAGTTGGGGGAGCCAGGTCTGTGGCCCCCTTAGCCGTGTGTCAGTCTTGGAGGCAGGGCTGCTTGAGAAAGGGCTTTTGGGGTTTCCACATCTCCCCATCTTATCCACTGACCTCCTCCAGACCTGCCCCAATTGCTTCTTGCTGGAACCTCCTGGGGCCCCAGGACAGAGACCACTCCTAGGTCTCCAAATCCTGGGGCCAGCCCCAGGCCCACCTTCCTCCCAGCGGGGCCATGCCCTCTGTGCACCCTGGCCTCCCATGCCCTCCGTGCACCCTGGCCTCCCATGCTGCATGCCCTCCATGTGCACCTGGCCTCCCATGCCCTCAGTGCACCCTGGCCTCGTGAGTGGGGCCGGCCACCTTTACAGACACAGCACCCAGGAACACACATGAGGTGCACCCTGGCCTCCCATGCCCTCCGTGCACCCTGGCCTCCCATGCCCTCCGTGCACCCTGGCCTAGGGTGGGGCCAGCCACCAACACAGACACAGCACCCAGGAACACATGAGCATCCAGTCCACGCCCTCCAGCAGGCCCCGGTCCAGGCCTCTCACATCCAGCCCCAGGTGCCCAGGAGGTACCCTCCCTCCCCGGGCTGATGGATGGAGCCTTCCTCCACCTGAGCCACCACCTGCACCCTTCTCTGCGCCTCGGAGCCTGAAATGTGGACACCTGGTTGGGGCAGGACAGGGACCAACCCGCCGGACACAGGCCCTGAGGAACTGCCAAATGAATCCCAGCCCATCCTGCAGAGGACAATGCTGGTGACCCACCTCGCCTTCTAATGTCACAGTCCCGAGAACCGTCAACATGGCCACCCAGTCCAAAGCAGGGCTCCCGCCTGGGTTTCAAGACAAGGCAGGCCGGCCCCTGGGTCGGGGTGCAGGGACCCAGAGCGGCCACCAGAGGGCAGCGTAGGAGCACACGGGAGCCCCATTCTGGGCAGCTGCCCAGCATCCCGACAGTGGCCTCCCGAGCCCTCCGGGGGCCCCCAGGCCAGCGGCCCGCCCCGCCTGAGGCCTCAGCCCACTCCACACACACACGGCCATGCCACGGCTCCTGATTTATTGCCTTCGAGTGTCCAGAACACCTGACTGCCCTGGGGTCTAATAATTTAAGGTGCCGAGAACAGGTCAGGGCAAGGGGTCGCAGAAGACGGGCTGGGGGGGCCCAGTGGTTACAAAATGTACCCCCGCCCTGAACAAACAGGCCAGAGGAGACCGGCCTGGGCTGGTGTGGGAGGGGTGGGCGGGGGTCCCGGGAAGAGGGCGCCCGACCCACCTCGGAAAGACAGAGCCACGGCCAGCGCTGCCAGAGGGAGCGGCAGAGGCAGGAGAAGGCCCGGAGGCCACACGGGCCAGGGGGCTCCTCAGACACAAGTGCACGGAGGCGTCGGGGAGGAAAAGGCGATGTGGGGCCAGCCAAGGCCTGGAGCCCCTGCTGGGCTGGGCAGAGCAGGGCTGGGCAGGGCCACCAGGCCCGGTCAAGGTCCTGAGCTACATGACACAGCACCGGGTCTTGTGCGTGTGTGGGTCTTTGAACCGCAGCCTCTGTTTGGGCCGGTATTTCTCCAGATAGGTGAGCTGCTTGCTGTTGATGGCTCCACGGCGCTTCCTGGGAAGAGGGGGACAGGGATAGGGTTCATCCAAGGCCCTGGCTCGGCCACCTCACCTGTCCCAGGGAGCTGGAAGCTGAGAGTGCAGTGAGCTGGAGTAAGGCCTTGCGGCTGGCCAAGCCCCTCCCATCCCAGGGCCTTGCCACGGCTGCTCCCAGAGTCACAGTCACCCTTTCCTGGCCTCCTGCAGCTTACCCCTGCTTGCCTTCCAAACTCACCAAAGCGCCACCTCCTCCAGGCTGACTCTGGGCTCCCTACGGCCCCCAGGCTTCCCCAGATGGGTAGGACCCACCCCAAGGCCATGAGCAGGCAACAAGGGTGGTTTCTGGGCACCTCTACCATCCAGGAAGTGGGGGCCTGTGAGTAAGGGAGGGGCTGAGCCCAGAATTCCAGCCCAGCTACACGACCTTCACTTACAGCAGGGACCTCGGTTGCGTGCTCACCCTGTCCCCACCATCCCTGCCACCTGGTCCTTATAGCGGGGACCTGGGCTGTGTGCACAGCCTGCCCCTGCCACCTGGTCCTTACAGCGGGGACCTGGGCTATGTGCTCACCCTGTCCCTGCCACCTGGTCCTTGACCACAGGTACCTGGGCTGGGGTGGACAGGAAGACTTCCTGGAGGAGAGGATGCTGCAGCCACACCTAAGAAACCCTGAGGTGACAGGCGTCCGGGGCCTGGGGCTGCCCACCCAGCGCCTCTGGAGGCTCATCCATCCTCACCTGCCATGGCCTCAGGCGTGCCCACGGGCTGGCCCTGGCCAAGGAAGTGGGAGCGGAAGTAGCGCAAGGAGTCTCTGTCCAGCAAAGCTGCAGGCACCCCGTGTGGCTCCACCACGCTCGCTTCCTCTGCCCAGCCACTGGCATGCTGGGGAAGGCGCAGCCCTCAGCCAGGCCTCCGCGTAGGGCCCCCACCCACAGACACGCAACAGGGGCAAGAAACACCCATGCTGTTCTGGGCCTGGCCATTTCTGCAGCACTGCCCAACCTGTCCTGACCAGTGCAGCCTCGGGTTTGGGGAGCCACACAGCAAAAGCCACAGGGGAGAGACAAGCCCTGGCTCGGTGAGACGTGGGGTCGGGAGAAGCCCCAGGGAAGGTGCTCGCCTGTGTGCACCCGCATGTGTGAAAGTGCATGTCATGTATGAGTGCACACGTGTGTACGTGCCTGAGTGCATCCATGTGTGTCTACGTGTGCAAACACCCACTCATCTGTGCCTGTGTTCACACACCTGCCTGTACGTGTGTGCCTGCGTATGTCTGGGTCTGTGTGTGCACACGTGTACTTGTGTGTGTGCCTGCATGACCCCCATGTGTGTCTGTGTGTGAGCGTGCACATCCCAGGGACCCCAGGGAGACCTGAGCACCTGCAGGCCACGCTCCCACACAGACCCACAGGGCAGGCCACGCTCTTGCACGGACCCGCAGGGCTGGCCAGCCAGTATGGCCGGGAACAAGCCTGCCTCTGGGAGGAAGAGACGGCCTCGCTAGCCAAGCCTGTCCAAGTAGCACGGGTGTGTGGCACTCACGGGCACGCACATGGTGGGCTGGGCAGGGGCAGGCTTCAGGCGCCGCATCCGTTCCTCCAGAGTGGGCCCTGCTGTCCCGGCCAGACTCCCCCAGGACCCCCTGGCAGTGGGCAGATGGCAGCCTTCCCCGGGGAGGCTACCACGTGACAGGGAGGGGCAGGCAAGCCGGACTGGAAGCCTCCAAGGAGGGCGGGGAGGGGCTGAGCTGGAGAGCTCAGGGTGGAGGGGAGGGGTGGTGAGCAGCTGGACTCAGAGCAGCTCTGAGACACCAGCCCAGTGTGAGCGTCCCCAGGGGTGGACACGGTGTGGCATGGGGTTTCAGGCTCTTGTTTTTCATGGAGGGACTGAACTGGCTGGCTGAGGGTCCTTCCACCCCCGTCAGGATGGCTGGGAAGGAAGGAGCGCCGTCTGTGGAGGGCGGGCAGGACGGCATGGCGAGCGGCCTCGCTGTGTCCCTGCATGGCTACATGGTCCCTCAGGGGCTGCTGTCCCCACCCATTAGAAACACCTCGGGTTTCCCCGTTTCTGCAGCAAGTCCCAGCTTGTGCTGAGCGACGCAGCCTCAGGGCAACAGAACCACACAGTCAACACCAACGCCCTTCGTGGGCAGCCAGATCTCCCCTCCCCCAGCGCTCACAGCCCACCCCGCCACCTCGGCCACTCACTGGCGGATGAACTGGATGGCGTCCTCGTACTTCATCCCACTCTCGATGAGGGCCAGCGCCACAAGGACTGGAGCCCTGGGGGCAAACAGAAGGGCCGGGGTCTTCGGAGCCTGCGCACCCCTGTCCCCTTGGCAGGGCACCCGCTGAAGACGCAGGGCACGGGGGCCCAAGGGGTCCAGACTCCCCGCTGCCTGAAGCTCCCCCATGGAGGCCACAGCCTCAGAGCCCAGCCTGAGCACTGGGTCCAAATCCTGACTTCCTCCTAGGCAACCTCTCTGCAATCTGCTGGGGGAGGGTTAAATAAGGGCTCCCAGGTGAAGTGCTAAGAGCTGGATCCATGCCTGCTATCAACCCTGCTCGCCTAGGCTTCCCTCTGCGGATGGGGGTGTCCCACTGGTCATTTCATCTCATCCCAGCTGCCATTCTTCCTCCCGTTCTCCCAGCAGGGGTCTGAGGCCCCAGCTGTGTGGGGGTGGATCTTTGTGTCTGGAGAGGGGGACGACAGCCCTTTCCTGAACAAGATGTCGGGATGGTTACAACCACAGCAGGAAGAAGTTGGGTTAGACTTTGGGAAGCACTTCCTCTCTGTGATGCTGGGAGAGGACCAGTCTGGGAGCCCCAGTACTTGGGGCACAGGCCTCCTGGGAAGGTCGCATGGATGTGTGTTCAAGACCCACATCCAAAAGCAAGGCTATCAGACCACGAGATGCCCAACCACCTGACATGGCGAGCCCCACCCTGCCCCGACACTCACCGGCCCAGGCCCGCCACGCAGTGCACAGCCACGCAGCTGCCGGGGGCCTCACAGAACTTGGCCTTCACCAGGCTCAGCCAGTCTTCCACTACCTGGCCGGGCGGGGGCGCCCCGTCGTCAAACGGCCAGTCCTGCGGAGGGAAGCGACATGAGGACCCCCAGCTGCGGGAGAGTGGAGAGGTGGCCCTGGGGCTCAGGCGAGAACAGGGAGCTCTGAGAGGCAGAGGGTGCCAGGAGCCCGCTACGGTGGGGGCAGCAGATCCAGAGGGCACACAGGAGGCGTACAGCTTGGCCATGGGCACCCCATGGTGGGTGCTTTAGACTCCTCATCATTCCCTGTACACTGCAGCTGTCCCCTCCTCCAGGAAGCCTTCCGAGACCACCCCACCCCTTTCTGAGTGGAGCCTCGTCCAGAGTCACACAAATCCAATCTCCACACCTGTCAGCCCGAGCTCTGGTTCTGGGGTCACAATCCCTCACGCCTGTGCGCCGGCGGCAGCCTGAGAGGTTTTGGGTCAGCTGGTGCAAGAGGTCTAGTCCCCCGTGGTGGCATGCAAAGACAGCTGGCATGTGCCACACACAGCCCAGGTGCCAGGAAGGACTGAAGACAGGGTTATGGGGCGAGACAGCGCCCATGTTTCCAAGGGCACTCGAAACAGGCGGTTCCACTGGGACCCCAGCCCATTGTTCCTGGGGGTTAATTTGGTCTTAGAAGATGACCTGTGCTTCCCACTGTCCCGTTCCCCAGCGCCCTGGATCGGTGGGCAAGTGAGTCTTCCCAGGGGAGGGCCCAGGCCAGAGCGCTGCGGCGGGAATGGACACATTTCAGTCTTGGGAAAGAGTTCGTGCAGGGCCGCGGGACTGTGCCAGGCCTGGGGCTGTCTGGTGCCAGGGAGAGCCCGCTGGGCCCACTGAGCAGACACGCAGCCTTTGGGGGCATCTCACCCCTCCCCAGCCTCCAGGCAGGGCAACTCCTAGAGACAACTGGTCTGCACAGCTACTTACGTCTGCCCCCAATCCCTCCCACTGCTGTGGAAGAGGAAGGAGGGTGTGGGTACACCCCATGAGAGAAGCGGGGACACGCCTTCACCTCCCATTCTTCCAAGCAGCCCCGCTTTGAGGTGAGGAACCCAAGGCTCGGAGTGACCTGCAGTGTCACAAGGCTGGGGAGGGCAGAGGCGGGACGCAGCCCAAGACCTATCTGACCCCAAAGCGCCAGCACTGCCACCACTCCAAACCGCCAAGCTGAGATTATGAAACAGCAACCACAGCCAAAAGCAGAGTCCTGGGATGAAAAGCAGTGACTGAGGGGTCACTCAAGCTCCGCACTGAGGAGACAGGCCTGGACGCAGCTGGGCGGGCCTGCACCAGGGGGCAGTCGTCTACCGGGCCGGGGGTGGACCCCCCTGCCCTGGGGCCAGCTCTGGGCCTGCAGCTGCTGTGGCCCACCCCCCAAGGATACGGCAGCAGAACCGCCCCACACCCCGCCCAGACCTGGGTCCCCAGGGCCAAAGGAGCCAAGGAAACTGCCCAAGGGTCCTCCCCAGGAGCCTGCTGCCTGGCAACAGGGACGCAGCCACCCGGGCAGAGACTGAGATGGACCCAAGACAGGACGGGAGGAGGGTCTGAGACAGGCGGAGGAGCCCAACCCCCACCTTGGCCCATGCACCAAGCATGTGCCAGCCACCCCTGCCTGGCGAGCCAGGCTGGCCCGATCTAGAGACAGAAAGATGGGGTACACAAGGGTGAATTTCTTGAGGTCACAAGGCCCAACACCCTGGCCTTCCCTTGAGGTACCCAGACACACACGTGGCCCAGGCACAAACATGTCCAGGGCTGCCACAGGAGGGGCACCAAACCCTCTGTGCAGGCCCAGAGCCCCCCGCCCCACCCTCCCCCAGTGGCAGCAGCGACGAGGGTCCCCATGGCCAGGGTCCCCGTGGCGGGCGCCTCACCACAACTGTGATGCCATCCTTCTCCAGCGGCGTTTTGTCATAGGTCACTTCACACACGCGCACCACGGTGGTGGCCCCATACTTCTTCAGGTCCTGCGGAGGAAGGATGGAGGAGGCAGGGCTGGGCTGGGGCTGCAGTGCTCAGGGAGCAGGACCCACTCACCAGGGCTCCCAGGGCACAGCTGTGTCCCCCACCGTCACCCAGGACTTGGACATGTCCCTTCAGACCCTTCGGGGTGGAGCCCTGTCCTCTCAGACCTCTCGGGGTGGAATCCTGTCCCCTCAGTCCCCTGGGGCAGGGGCATGGTCCCTGAAGCCCCCAGGGAAGGGCATGTCACCCTCCAGCCAGGCAGACCCTGATGCAGTGAGGCCCACCAAGAGTGGACTTTGGGCTCCACGACTGGTCAAGGTGGTGTCTGGGTGTGAAAGAGCCTGTCCCAGGTCCCTTGGGCCACCCAGCAAAGGCAAAGGTGTCCCCACCTACATTCATGGTCACCAGCAGCTGGGACCCCAGCTCCCCAGCACACCACTCCCTCCTCTGGGTTGCTCAGGACCCCAGATCTACCAGCAAGGACATTTCAGGACATTTCTTCCAGAAAAGCTACTGGGTCCCCGCAGCAGGAACTGGACCCCCCAGTCCACATGTGAGCCCCTGCATCTGAGCAGCGACCCCAGCTGAGCCGCAGGGATGGGTCCAGTCCAGGGGACTTTGGGGTCTAAGAAGGGCGGGCGTCAGCTGGGGCACCTCAGAGCAGGGAGGGTGGGCACCACTCAGATGGCAGCCAGGAGGGAGCTGGGCCCTGCACGCCAGCAGGGAAGCCCCACACGACCAGGGAAAAGGTCGTGGTAGTTCACAGCCAGGCCGATATTTATACCCCCACTGCGGGGGATCCACTTCACGGGGGTCATGTGTGAGGGCTGTTCCCACCCCACCTGCTCTCACAGCTATTTTGGGAGGGGTGAGGAATCAGCTGCTGGGTCTTGCTGGTCACGGGACGGGTACCTAGAACACAGAGAGGCCAGTACACAACTATCTGAGAATGCAGGGAACATGTGGGGTGCTGGGCTCTCTGGCCGTGGGGTACCTCAGAGGCCCTCTGCACACTCAGCAGAGGAAATGGCCACCCAGCCCAGGACTCAGCCCTGGTCCTGGTCACAGGTTGAGCCCTTCCTGATCCTGGTCACACACTGAGCCATGATCCTGGTCACATCCTGAGCCTTGACAGTCACACACCTGTAAGCCTTCACCCTGGTCACATGCTGAGCCCCAACCCTGGTGACATACTGAGCCCTGATCCTGGTCACATACTGAGCCTTGATCTTGGTCGCACACTGAGCCCTGATCCTGGACTAAGCCTTAACCCTGGTCACAGGCTGAGCCCTCCCTAACCCTGCTGACCTACTAAGCTCTAATCCTGGTCACACACTGAGCCCTGATCCTGGACACGCACTGAGCCTCGATCCTGGTCACATACTGAGCCCTGATCCCAGACACACACCAAACCCTGACCCTGGTCACACATGAGCACTGATCCTGGTCAAACACTGAGCCCCAACCTTGGTCACATACTGAGTGCTGATCCTGGACACCCACAGAGTCCCAACCTTGGTCACACACTGAGACCTGACCTTGGTGACAGGCTTAACCCTGATCCCAGTCATATTCTGAGGACTGACCCTGGCCACTCATCATGATGCTCTCGCCAATCTTTCTTGTACATCCTGCTGTTATCTCAAGGGTCTCAGCTGTGAGAGGGACAGCCATCTTCTGTAGGGCACCTGGCTCAGTGTCCAGGGTCTAGGCTCCCTGATGGCAGGGTGCCCAATGCGTCCGGCTGCTCTACAGTTCTCAATACCCTCTCATGCCCAAATTCCTGTTTCATTATGACAAGACCATGATGGCTTATCTCATGTCACAGGGGAAAGGACTCAGTCATAAATGACCCTGCACACAGCTGCAGCCTCTGACACAGCTGGCATAGTCAGAGGCTGCCAATGGCCCCACACACCGCTGCAGACTCTGCAAATGGCCCCAGGCCTGCAAACAGCAGGGTGCTCTGCAGAGGCCAGGCTCCTCTAGGAGGCCACGCAGGTCTCTCCAGACTCCACTCCCAAGATAGCTTCTGTAAATGCATCTGGTCCCATCTGCCAGGGTTGCCAGTGGCAGGCATCTCTGCTGGCTCTCTAGGGCACAGCGGTCCCTCCCTCCTGTGGTCAGTGCTGACCTTTGCTCAGTCCCTCCTCACATAGAGATCTGGGCCCTGAAGGCCCCTGTCCAGCCTCGTCGAACCTGAGGTCTCACCCAGAGCCCAGCAGCGTGTGGAAGCCTGGGCTAGCCATGGAGCCGCCCTGCATACTTGTCCCCCGTCTGCCTGTTTCCCCATTAAGCAGCCACTTCTCATACCAGGGCACCTCCTGCCCGCTCAGCCTATGCACAGAGGTCAAAAGGACAGCAAAGGGCAGGGGAGGGCCTCAGCCCAGGCCACGGCTGAGCACGCAGAGCCTGGCCCATGTATCCCCCCGCCTCACCCCCTGCCTCTACCCACATGGCATGGAGTCCCTCCTATCACATGCCAGCCCCCTGCAGGCCTCCCAGGGGACCCAGTTGATCCCCCAACACCCTCACCCCCGACCCCCAGGATACCCCCATGTCCCTCCTCCAGGATCCTGCAACGGGGACTGGGCTTTGCTTCAAGGCTGTGAGCCCTGTCTGGCCAGCGGTGGCTGGGGACCCCTCTCGGGAGGCCTCAGGCAGCTCAGCCGGGCTTCCCAGATACCTGGGCCCCCTGCCTGCCACACCTCCGTCTCCACTCACCTCGATGAAGGTGCTGAGCGTGGCGTTGGTGGGGTTGTGGGTGATGAGGAAGCGCATGTGTTTGTAGCTCACCTCCACCGGGGCTGGGCGGTTCATCCGAGCCATGGCGCCTCCCAACAGGCCCGGCAGGGCAGAAGGGGCTGCACAGAAGGCTGGGGACACGTCCTGAGAAGTCCCCACGTACCCCCCAAAAATGAGGAGAACAAGATCCCTGTGCTTGTCCAAGAAAAGCGGGATTTAAAAACCCACCCCCATACCCCGCACAAATATTGTGCAAATACTTAGGTGTGGGGGAGGAAGCTGCCCAGTGTTTGGATAATTAAAAAAGAAACCCCAAATCTTAAAAAAGAAAAGGAAAAAAACAGCCCCCTCCCCGCCCAAAGTAAAGCGGGCAACTCCAAACTCCTGTCTCTCACAGCTGGATAGTCATAAAGAGGCAAAAAATAAAAAGAACAACCAAAAAAAGCTCAGCAAAGAAAACTTAAAAGCCCAAAGAGAATCCGGCCGCCAAGCAGTGTCCAGAGCTGGACCCCACGCTGGGGGCGCCCTCTCCACATCGGTGGCTGGGCAGACAGCCCCCTCCACTCAGAGGTGGGCCCCAAGCCCCCAAGGGCCAAAGGAAGAATGAACTTGAACTGAACCAACTCCAGCAGCCTTGGGCCAGGGGTCACAGGCAGCGGCCGTGGGGACAGCGGCCTCTGACGTGCGGGGCCTCTGTCACGTTACCCCATCGGGGTACAGTGAGTCCTGGAGTGGGGCAGGGGGCTCAGGCGGTAGAGCTGGCCCCAGGCTGGGCAGCAGAGGCCATCGGCAGGCGAGGGCAATGGTGAGAGCCAGCAGCGCAGGGACTCCTCAGCAGCAGGCGCGGCGAGCCTGGGTTCAGCAGTGCTCAGGGCTGGGCCCCGTGGCCCACTCCATGAACCCCAGGCGGGTCCGCAGCACACAGCATCTGGGGGGAAGATGAAGAAAATGAATAGAAAGGGGTCACAGGGGGCCCCACCTCCCACGAGGGGTTCATGCCTGCCCTGAGCCTGCAGTCACAGGCGACACCTCTCCCAGAGCGCTCCTCCTGGCCATGCTGAGTGAATGACCCTCTTAGGTCTGTTTCCTTACGTGGGAGCACAAGGAAGCACGGCTCCTGCCAGGACTGACCCAGGGCCTGAAGGCCATAGGGCAGCCACCACACAGCCAGCAGGGCATGACGGAGGACAGAGGGGGACAGGGATTTCAGGGACACACACACTCCCGAGGACATGATGAACCCAGCACACAGACGACGGGTCCCTCTGTGGGGACACAGGCCGAGTTCCCCTAAGAAGCCTGAGCCTGGCCCCTGCCCACCTGCCGTGATCTGTGGAAACCCCACCCCAGGACAGCTGCCCTCTCTTCCAATTCTTGGCTACTGCGAACATCTGAGCCCAGGTCTCTCTGGGTGGCCCATCCTCAGGGAACGGGGCCCAGGCACTCAGTCAGTGCTGCCAGTACAGGGAGGAGAGGGGCCTGGCCCCACACGCAGCCATGGGCCACCCTAATTGCCTCTTGCTTTCTGCAGAGTCTCCTGTCAGTAGCCCCCTGCCCACCAGTGTCCCCCCCGCCACTGTGTCTCCGATGCTCACACAGGGCTCAGCCAGGCTCAGGGGATAAACAGGCCAGCTCTGCCCCTCCAGGAGCTCACAGAGGCGGGGACAGACCACACCAACAGGCCAGCCATCAGGCACACATGCCAAGGTGGTGACAGCACAGGTGGCCAGGAGTGGGTTCACACCGTAACAGGGCCCTGAAGAGAGAGGCTGCAGGGGGGCCACAGTAACCTGAAGCACCTCCACGCCTGCCTCTCTCCCTCTCTGGGTCTCACAACCCTAAAGCTCCCGGGCAAGGGGGTTCCAAGAGCACGCAGCCCCCTTCCCTCTCTATGGAAAGGCTGGGAGACTTTGTACAAGGTGCCAGCCTCTTTGTTACCCCATTAGCACAACGAGGGGCCACACAAGTGACCCAAGCTCCCTCCGGCTGTGACCCAGCTGTTAGCAGACTCTCCAGGCCCCTAGACTTAACCCAAGCCCGGCCCTGTCACTACTGTCTACCACCCAAGGAAAGGCACTTCAGGGTCCCTTGTCCAGCAGAGCCCTCCATTCTCCAACCCACCCCCTCTCACCTGTGCCCCTGCCCCAGCCCCAGCACCCCCTTCCCAGCTGCCCACCAGGCAGGCTGGGCCCTTGGAGTCTCAGCCCAGGCGCAGGGAGGGCTTGAGGCCTGGGCCCCTGGACTCGGAGGGTGGCTGCATGGGACCGTGGGCTCCTCCTTGCTTGCCCTCCACACCCGGGGTGGCAGCCAGTGCTCACGGGCTCCGAGCAAGCGCCACACCTCAGGATCTGTCCATTGTGTGGTTCTGGGAAGGTTAAAACAGATGGTGGGTGCGGTGGCTCATGCCTGTAATCTCAGCACTTCGGGAGGCTGAGGCAGGCGGATGACCTGAGGTCGGGAGTTCGAGACCAGCCTGACCAACACGGAGAAACCCCATCTCTACTAAAAACAAAAATAAAAAAAATTAGCCAGGCATGGTGGTGCATGCCTGTAATCCCAGCTACTCGGGAGGCTGAGGCAGGAGAATCGCTTGAACCCAGGAGGCAGAGGTTGCAGTGAGCCGAGATCGCGCCATTGCGCTCTAGCCTGGGCAACAAGAGCAAACCCCCGCCCCCCCAAAATAAAAAAAAGGATGGTGGGGTGGGACCTCCCGCAGGAGGTAAAGGTGGAGACAAGGATCCTGCCCCTGGTCCCGCCAGCCCCCACCCTGCCCAGCTGGAGGGAGCATAGGCTCTGAGTGTGGGTGAGGGAAGCCACTGGGTGCTAACAGCACACAAACACCTGGGTCCCTCCTGGGACGGCAGGATGTCCCTGTGCGGGGGAGCCGAATCCATGTTTACACAAAGAAAGAAGGAAAAGCGCTGGAGAAGCCACAGCATTGGGCCTCTCCCTGAGGGGCTGACCAACCCCTCACACCCATAGCTGCCAAGGACCTGGGAAGACCCCACAGGCAACAGCACGTGGCCTGGCCCTACTGCCTAGTGGCCCTGGACAGGTCCTCAGGGCTGCAGGCTGCTGCGAGGGAGGAGGCTCTGAACCACCTCAGGGGTCACAACCCAGGCTAGAATGGGGTCAGGGGTCCAGGGAGAGGCTGGACAAGGCTGGGCTGGGGTCTTGCCACACACCCCACTTGTCTCTGCACCCTGGAGCCCCTACCCCTGCCCCAGGTGAGAGCAAAGCAATGATGCCCTGGCACCACTATGTGGCTCTGCCCTGCCTGGTGGCTGTCCCCCAAGGGAGAACACCCCTCCCTAACCACATGCCCCCACTGAGGTCACCAGGTAGGGCCCATAGAACAAGGGTTAAGGATCCCCAGGGATGGGCACTGAGAACTCCCTGAAGCCAAAGCCTCAGGCTTCCCACCTGCGAAATGGGGACAGGTTGCCCCTGCCTCCATGTGTTGTAAGTCGCTACCACCCCCACCAAGCCCGTGGACCACAGCACAGGGACCCACTGGCAGCCACGGCCCCTCCTTCCCTCCTGCTTCCAAGCTCTGCAGCACCCTTCCCGAGATCCGGCTCAGCCTCCTCCGGCCAGCAGAGCCCTCAGCCATTTCTCAAGACCCTTAAAGGAAGAGTCCATCCTTGTCCCTGTTGGCCAGACGAGGAAACAAGCCAGGGAGAGGGGACATTCTCAGCCAGGGCCACACCAGGCGTCCAGTTAACTAGGTTCTCTCTGCCTCAAGTCTAGGAGGCAGGAACAACACGGAGCCCCCTGTACAGAAGAGGAAATCGAGGTTCAGGGAGGCTACCACCCTCCTTCCCGATGGCACAGCGGGTTAAGAAGTTTGAATCCAGCTCCCTTCAGAGAGGGCCCCTCTGTGATACTGGGGAAGGAGTCTGGAGGCCTGGGGCTCAGTGGGTCTCAGAAGTAAGGCTGCGCCGCGGTCAGGGCTGAAGTGGGCGCTCTGGGGAGTCCCGGGGGACCAGTCGCGGGTGGGGTCGTGGTAAGGGGCGCGGCCCCCTCCCTGGACGCCAGCGGGGCTCCCGCCCAGCCCTCCGAAGGGTGACACCTCCTCCCTGGCGGGACTGAGGTCCCGGAAGGCCTGGATCCGCCGCGTCCCCACCTGCCAGGCTCACCCGCGCCGCAGGCGTCCTGCCGCCTCCATACGCGCCGGCCGGGCGGTGCCCACGGTGCTGGGCCCGGGTCGGGGCGCCGCCCCTCCGCCGCGGAGCCGGCTCCAGGCGCTGCTGCCACCGCCGCCTGCGGCTATTTATAGTGCCCGGGCGTCACGTGGGGGGCGTGACCGGCGGGCGACCCGGCTGCCGAGGGCTCCCACACCTGCCGCCTAAATATAGCCGCGCCCTGCCCGGGAAACAAAGGGGCCGCGCAGGGCGGGCGCGGAGAAGAGGAAGCCCGGCCAGGAAAGGGAAGTGCGGGGCGCGGCGAGGGCCGGGGGCGCTGCAGCCCGGGACCCCTCCTTCCTCCCGCCGGCCGGCCCAGCGCCCTCTCCCGTTGCCTGCCCTCCCTAGAACCTCGGAGCTCTCCCTGGCCCCTTCACGGGGCTGTGGGCTGGGGGTCCTGAGGGCAGGAGCCGCGGGGCTGCGCTCCTGGTGGGGAGGCCTGGAGGGAGCACGCCCAGCTTTGGAAATGTAAATGCGGCCCTGCTGTGCAGGTGCTGTCCTGCACCCAGAGGAGGAGGGCGCCCGAGTCCCTCCTGTTCAGACACCCTGCTCAACTCACCAGCCCACAGCCCCGGCACTTCTCCATGTGTTTACTCAGCACCTACCGTGTGCCAGACACTACTGTCCCCTCACTTAATCCTCACGACCCAGCTGTGGCTGCTACGCTGGTCTCCCCTAGCGTACTGGTGAGGAAACTGAGGCACTGAAACGAGGAACACACTCAGGTAACACCGGCAGGCAGGATTCAGCCAGGGAGAGGGCTCCACAAACTCCGAGGCTGGGCACTTCCGAAGAGGCGTCCCCTCTTCCAGGAAGCCCTCCCAGATCCTCTCAAGCAAAAGCCTCCCTGGGACTCCTGGCTCTGCCTCCTGGGAGCATTGTGCGGGGAACTCATGTGCTCCCCAGACTATGAGCCCCAAGGGTGCAGCTGGCATCACGATCCACTCTGTGCCTGCCCTGGCCACCCAGAGCAGGGTGGAGGGGCATGGGTGGCACCCCCAGCACAGGGTCCCTGGAGGCCTGGCCTTGCTTGCAGCTCTCAAACAACCTGGTCCCTGCAATCTGAGGTCATCAAGGGACCCTGCTGAGAGCATGACCCACTCTCCCCCTGCCAGGCTCTCCCCACCCACACTTCCAGACAGCATCACCATCAGCCTGGCCCAGCTGTGCTGGCAACCCTCGTCTCCTCCCACCCCCAGGTGGGCAAGCAGGCCAGGGGCCAAGGACAGGAGGACTGTGCCCAGTCTGAAGGGACCCATGGGAGCCCCCACCCAAGGGCGCACCAAGCCAGGTAGCCCTGCCTGCCAGCTCATAGACCCCCAAGGGTGTGAGCTCCCTGACAAGGACACCCACCCACATGGGTGCACCCAGCATCACAGGGAGACACTAGGCTCTGACTCCTGCCCAGTGCTCTCAGCTCACCACTTCCAGCAGCATCTCCGTGAAGGTCCAAGGCAGGAATGGGTCAGCTTCAGGGACTCTGCCCCACCAGTCTCCAACCTCAGCCACTTTCTAAGGATACCAGGCTAGACACTGCATTCCCCGAGCAAGGCACCAACACCTGCCACACTGCACTGGCGAACCACAACAGCTCAGAGAAGCTGAGCAACCCTCCTGAGTCACACAGCCAGAAGGCAGGGGAACCACAGTTGGAGCTGGGTCTTGCTGCCCCCCAGAGACCCTGCTTATCCCAACTCTAGCCCTCGAGGAGAGAGGACCTCTGGGGTAAGCTGCTCCTGCCACCCCAGCCTTAGTTTTCTTATCCATAAAAGGGTCTCAGAGTGAAAGTTCCCATCAAGCTCTGTGATGCTACAACCAGACAGAGCCCATCATGCCTCTGGGGCTACAAAGGTGGACCCCCGCATCCTCATCACCCCCACCCGGGCTCCACCCCCTTGCCTGGGGCCCTCTGGCCAGGCCTGGGGGGCACCTGCCACAGCTGGCACAGCCCCAGGCCTTTCGGAGAAGTCTATTTATATCCGGGCAGGAGCCGTTCCTGGAATCCTCCCAGAGCGAGCCCAAGTCCGCCCATTGCTAGGGGGGCCAGAAGGGTAGACCCGAGCAGGCCAAGCCCATGCCTGATACACTAGGATGCCTTCCCAGAGTCCTCCAGGCCCCTGCACCCGGCAGCTCCAAGAGCCCAGCTCCCTCACTGCCACTCCCCCCATGCCATCCCATCCCCTCTCCCCACCCCATCCCATCCCCTCTCCCCTTGCTATGTGTCCTTTAGAGCAGAGTGTCCCAGGCCCCAGGGAAGGCATCCCAACTGAAGGGGAGTTGAGAGGTCCTCAGTTTCACCCCACTTCCCACACAGGCCCTGGCACCAAGAGGGCTCCCACTTGTTTGTGGAAGGAACAAATGACCCAACGTTCTGGGCAGAGGTCCAGATCTGGGAAACATCCAGAACCCATCACAGAATCTCGACCCCTGAGGTCTAGAGGAACCTCAAAGGTCACCTACACCACACCTAAGCCCCAGCTTGCACACCTCTGGTGATGGGGACCTCACTACTCCTTAGCATCCCTTGTGACCTCCACCTTCAGGCAGCCTCTCAAGCTGTCCGTCCCAGGCCCCCTCTCTGGTGCTTCTGAGCAATCATTGCAGGGACGGGGACCAGCAAGAGGAAAGCCCCTGAGCAGAAGCAGCCCCAGGGTGGCAGGTGATCTGGAGGGTGGGAGGTCAGGGAAGGATTCCTGGAAGAACTGGCCAGGAGGGAGGCAGGCATGCTCCTGATGCCTGGAGTCTCACATCAGGCTACTACCCCGACTCCCTGTGTAACCCTGGGCCAGTGCTAGCCCTCTGGGGCCCATGGCCACCTTTACAAATAGAGACACTGCCAGAGAGGAAAGCCACCTTCCGACATGGTGTCAGCTCCAAGCCAGTCATGGGGTGCCTGGCTGCAGCCTGGAAGCAGAGCTGTTGGGCACCGGCTCGGGTTCTACCCACTGGGCATCTACAGATGAGTGTGGGCTCCAAGGACACACCCCTGTGCTCAGCCACTGCTCCTCTGGGCCGCACACAGCTTTAACAGTGCCTTCTGGGGCATGGCGCTAACTTGCCAACCCAAGACGCCTGCCCTGCTCCTCCTGAAGCTGCTCACATGCCGCCAGCCACCAGCAGTGCCCAGGCAGACCAAAGCTCCACCACAGACCTGGGGGCTGTAACCACTGCTTCCACAGGCAGGCAGGTAGGTGGGCACCTGGCGAGAGCATGGGCGAGGCCATGCGGCTCCACTCAGGCTGCCACTGGGCCCCAGGCACCCAGCATCAGGCAGGCACCAGGAGCCTCCCAAATCTGTGGCCACTCAGGCCCTGCCAGGCCCACCTGGAGCCTCCCAAGCTCCAATGGCGCCAGGAGAACCACCCAGTGACGGGTAGAAACCTGACCCCAGGAGGTGCTTAGTACCACCCTGTGGCCTGCTGCAATGACCAATCCCAACCCAGGACTCAGACCCTACCCCCATAGCCCAGCGCCAAGCCCCAGCCCCCCATACCTGGACTCAGCTCAGCCAGCCTCACCCGTGGGCCTGGACCGTCCCCTAATGGAACCAGGGATGCCAGAGGAAAGGAGCAAGGGAGCAGAGGTGGCAGGAGGAGGACGTAGAGGAGGGGGACAGTCACAGGGAGGAGTTCTGACCCCACTCACAAGGTGGCACCAAACCACCGCGGTCAGGACTGGGCTCTGGGCTCACAGGGCCTGGGGTCAAGGTCAGTGCTGTCTGTGACTGTTTCTCCCCTCTGAGCCCTGGTTCCCCACCTGTAAAAGGTATGGCAAGCCCTGGCTCACCGGGGTCTTGAGGGGATGAGGAGACAGTGGACACTGACAGCTGGAAGACGAAGCCTCTGGCAGCAGCTCAGATGAGGAAACTGAGGCACGGCCAGGGGAATTGTGACCCCAAATGTGGCCTTGCAAACCCTCCAGGTACCCCTTCTGCCACCCTAGAAGCCCACCTGGTGGCAGAGCAGGCAGAGCATCTTCCCTGCCTGGGGGTGTGACACAGCCAGGCCCCCTCCCAGCTCCCCTCACTCTGCCCTTGTCATTCCCCCAGCACCCCAGCCCCCCGTCTGCCCTTCCTGGGGGCAAGGATGGGGGTGTCAGTGCTTGGAAAGCATCCCAGCAGCCACTGCCAGCCAGGCCACCTGTTGATACCACACGGTGCCGGCACATAAGGCCTGCATCCTGGGCTACCTGCCCTGCACAAGGCTCACCACCCACCTCCCCATCCCTGCAGGGGCATCCTGCTCTCTACACTGCTCTGCACCCTCCTGAAGCTCAGCAGTGCCTCTGAGCCTTCCCTACTCCCACCCTGGACCACAGGACTCCCACCAACGAGGACTGGAGACCAGGCGTTCATCCACTCATTCATCCGTTCATTCATCCAATTTGACAAATATGTACTGAGCACCTTCAAGGGCCAGGTGCTGGGCTAAGCTTGGAAGATTCAGGAAAGAAATGGACAGAACCAGCACACAGCCCGCCCACCTTCTCCTGCCCTCCCAGGTGGGGTTGCCCAGTCACCCCTCCACCCCCTGCCCTGCCAAGCTGCCTCCCAGACTCCCCGGGCGAGTGGGCCAGGTAATGACAGTATCGTGGGTTTCCAGGGAGGGGTCTGAGACACTGGCATCTCTACTGAGTCGGGGGTCACTTCCTCCCTGGAGCCAAGTCACTTGGTTCCTCAAAGAGACCCCATGCCAACCTGTGCCTCAGGTTCCCAGGCTGTCACAAACAGGGTTAGAAGATAGGATGCCTGGCTCATAGCGGAGACACTGCCATGGCAGGCAGATCAGGTCCCAGGGCCATCAGGCCTCCACCCCCCCTATTGTCCCCAGCCATCAGCCTAGCAGAGGCCTCCACAAGCTGCCTCCACAGGGCCGCCCACCTCACCTCCCCGCCCCCCCCCACAAGCTCCCTCCCCCCCTCCTGGCCTGGGTCATGCTCTGCTGGGAACACCACCTCCTCAGGGGAACCTTCACTACCTAGTAACAGCCACTCCCTGCACCTCGACTTCCTCCTGTCAAGAGGGACAGCAACTGTCCCTCCCTTACAGAGTTATCGGAAATAAATGGATGGGGGCATGAAAAGTGTTCAGAACAGTGCCTGGTGCTGCCTGTGTGGCCCCTGTATCCCCGAACCCCAGAGAGGATGCCACCCCTTCTCCTCTGGTCTTGGTCTGGGTCCAGGCAAGAATGGGACACTCAGGCCTGGGTGTCCTCCGAGGCCACAGTGAGCCCCTGGCCGCTGCCTCCCTGACCCCCACCTCGCTGTGGGCCCAGGTCTCAGGCCTCTCACCCATGTCATTATGCCTTCTCCTTGTCAATGTCCCTGACACCCCCAGGCAGCTCAGGACCCCAACCAGAGAACCAAATGGGAGAGCACAGATCTGCCCCCAGAGGGCCACCACTGGGCCAGCCCTGCTTCTACCATTGAGGCCCCAGGGACCCACTGGTCTCCCCACCTGGTTGGGGTCTCTAGTCTACCACCCCTCCCATCCCCCACCCCCACCCAATCAGCCAGCCCAGCCTCCTCACCAGGGCAGGTATCAAGGGAGGTACACACATCCTTGTCTCTTGAAGGCAGCTTGATTCAGGTTTGGTAAGTGTGCAGCCCACCTCCAGGCCAGACTAGACTTCAGGTCAAGAGCCCACGTCATCTGCCCACCCACCTGGCAAGCCACCCCCCTACAGCGAGGCCTGGCACAGGATTGGAGACACAATGGTGGTCCCCACCCTGCTGCTTCTCACATACTTTCCATGGCTCCCTATGGCCTACAAAACCAAGTTCCGGCTTCTCAGCCTGGCCCACTGGCCCCTCTGCCCTTGCCTCCCTCACAGGTGAGGAGGGGAAGGGATTGTAGGAGTCACACCTCCAGGTACCCTCTTCTCTCTCCCCAGAATGTCCCTGGACACACCTCCTCATGCTCAAGACCAGACCAGAGTCCCTCCTCCTCCAGGAAGCCTGCAGGTACCCTCAGTGCCTGGGTCTCCCCTACCACGTTTCCATTCATACAGGTACCTGCCAAACACACTCTGGGCTCCAGGCCCCATGGTAGGTGCTGGGTGGGGGTCAGGGGTGAGCAAACCCCATCACCTACCCTCAGAGGGCACTGGTTGGGTGGTCAGTGGGGGCGGGGGGACACACACTAACCAGGCAAAGGATCATGGCAACGGGAAGTGGCATTCGACCCACAGAACCATTGAGTCCCGTCCCTCCTGTGATTGCTGGCGGAGGCGGGGCAATCACGGAGGCCTCTCTGAGGAGGTGGCCTTCAGGCAGGGTGAGATCCTCCCAGAGGGTGGTATGGGCTCCAAAGGTGGGGAATGTATCAGACTCCACTGAGCCCCACAAACCAGCACACATCAAGTCTGTTCCCACTGGCATCTCAGAGCCCTTTCATGCCCCACGTTCCATCATCCCCGCCCCCATGCATGATGTCACCCCCACCAGAGACCCAAGCCTTATGAGCCCCATTTGACACAGAGGCCAGCCGGATGGGGCAGAGCCGCTGGAAACCAGGTTTGCCAGTGCTAAGCCCAGGGCTCCTTCTCTTCCACCCCAGCAAATCCTGAGAGCCTCATCTGTTCAGAGCCCAGGGGAGGCTGACGACACACGAGCAGACTGCAGAGCAGCCAAGCAGATGGCAGGAGACTCACGCCTGGACTCAGCCACTGCACCCCAGGCCAGCTTCTCATATCCCCAACTCAGCCAGGGACTGGCCAACCAACCCAGAAAGCCACTGAGACTTTAGACCTCACAGGGATGATTAAAACCCAAGATAAGAGCCAATGACCACCTCAGCTGCCATTTGTTAACAATAATCGTGACGTTTGCCACATGGTGGGAACCTGATTT